GTCAGGCTCTCTTCACTGATAACCAATAGAGTAAAGACAGCAACAAACAAGGACAAAAAATAACTACTTTGTTCCCCTGTCACCCGTTCAATTTAACAACCAGAGAGACGGGAAATAAAGACGTAAGACAGTTACATTTCATAATAATAGAACCAAAGCTCAAGTTACTATCCAAGTTTATTAGGATGTGACTGAATTTTAAGAATTTTAAGTGACTATTCAGTCAATAATAGTTGACTACTAAAAACCAAAAAAACCTCAGAAAACAGGGAAGCCATGGCAGCTCAGTCATTTAAGTGGCCAACTCTTAGTTTCAGCTCCTAGTCATGATCTCACAGTTGTGAGACAAAGCCCTGGGTTGGGCTCCACACTGAGCATGAAGCCTGCCTGGGATTCTCTCTCTCCCTCTCTCTGCCCCTCTCCCAGTCACACGTGCTCTCAAAATAAACTTAAAAAAAAAAAAAAAAAGCTGTAAAAAAAATAGCTGAGAAAACCAAGAAATGGAAAATATACTGGATTTAAAATCCAAAGATCGGGGTTTAATTCTGGTTAACATCCATTAGTGCAACACAACACCCTGTTTCCTCTCATAAAAAAGAGACAAATAATGCTCATACATTCATTCAGCAAGTATTTATTGAATAAACCCTCCATGTGCCATTAGATGTGTGGCTGGGGAAACAACATAGATGAATGTAGTCCCCATCCTTGAGGAATTTCTCTTTTCCCTATCTCACAAGGCTACTGATAAGATAAAATGTACACACACTATGCAAATTGTAACACACCACATAAAGTGCAAAGTGATATAATGATTTTATTAACTTGTTTTACCTCTTCACCACCCATCTTTATTACAACATTTAGAAAGATTCAATAAAGTCTAGATGAGCAGATGTAATAGTCCGGTCTCTAACTGAATTGATCTTCTAAGGGCTGGAATTCAGGAGCCTAACAAATCACTATTAGTACAGTCTTAGCTCATAACTCTCAATATAACCACAAAATTAAAACGAACTGAGAATCCATTCAGGGCCTAGAACCTGCAGTGTTACTCCAGGCACGGGCTGGGAACGTGAGTTGTATTACCCACACCTGCCTGGCAAAGGGAGTAAAAAATAAAGACTTCTAGGCCCCATGCAAGACCTACTGAATCATACATAACCCTCAAAGGGTGACCCCAAGAATCTACGCTGTTGACAAGCACACCTAGTGACTCACATGCTCACTAGAGTTTAAGAACCACTACCACAAAGTTTTCCTTTGATCAATAACCACGATTTCAGGGGCACCTGGGTGGCTCAGTCGGTTGGGCGTCAAACTTTGGCTCAGGTCATGATCTCGCGGTTTGTGGGTTCGAGCCCCGCATCGGGCTCTGTGCTGACAGCTAGCTCAGAGTCTGGAGCTTGTTTCAGATTCTGTGTCTCCCTCTCTCTCTGACCCTCTCCTGCTTATGCTGTCTCTCTCTGTCTCAAAAATAAAAAATAAACATAAAAAAATAAATAAAAAATAACCATGATTTCAAACACCATTTCCAAAATCTACCCAGAAGCTCTGGGCCAAATAGAAGTCAGCTACAGACAAGAAAGCAGCTCCTGAGGAGGCACTTAGCAGTCAACGTTAAATGACTCACACTTAACTCATAAAAATACTTCTGGTGGCACCAACCTCTTTTCATTCCAAACTTTCACACAAATGAAGTCCCCCCCCACCAAAAAAAAAAAAAAAAAAAAAAAAAAAAAAAAAAAAAAAAAAACAAAAAAAAAAAAAAAAAAAAAAAAAAGGAAAAAGAATGTCCATGATATCCTTAAGTTATTAAAATTAACTCCAAACAAATAAATGTATATAGATACATATAGCTTCAATTTTTTTTTTTTTTTTGAGAGAGAGAGAGAGAGAGAGAGAAGGGGAGGCGTAGACAAAGTAGGAGGGAGAGAATCTTAAGCAAGCTCCATGGCCAGCATGGAGACCCTAGGATAACAACCCAGCTGAAATCAGGAGTCAGACGCTCAACCAACCAACTCACCCAGGCACCCCTATAAGCTTCAATTCTTCTTCTTTTTTTAAATGTTTATTTTTGAGACAGAGAGAGAGCACGAGTGGGGGAGGGGCAGAAACCGAGGGAGACAAGGAATCCGAAGCAGGCTCCAGGCTCTGAGCTGTCAGCACAGAGCCCTACGCGGGGCTCGAACCCATGAACCATGAGTTCATGACCTGAGCCGACGTTGGCCGCTCAACAGACTGAGCTACCCAGGCGCCCCCTGCTTCAATTTTTCTTATGGTTTAACTTTAACAAGGGAAAGGTGATGGGCATATTATCTTGTAGCTATCAAGACAGAAGGCATATACTCTACCCGGCATAAATACAATCATGATTTTGAATGCATGCAAACCAATCTTACGGGTCCATGCTTCTTAAAGAGCACACTACCTAAATACCAAACTAGCCAAAAGACAAACATAATTCCTCAAAAATATGAAGGTACCACAACCATATCCACCATATGCTTAAACTCTCCTAAGGTCAGCTCTCAAGAAATCAATCAGGAGTCCTTGGAAGTACTTCAACATTAAGAAAATTAACCTTAAGTCAAATGTTACTTCACATACTATATAATTAGTGCAAAGATGTATTTATTTTGGTTCTATTTACTGAAAGCATCCCTCCAGGTATATACAGATCAAAGGGAAGACATTCAATATATGCTACACTGGGGAAAATTACAAGGTGGAAACTAACATTGCTGGTAGAAATCTTTCCATCTGCAATAAAGTTTAGAGCCCAGAGGGCTTGTTCATACTCTAGTACCGAGACTTGCAACATGACTCTTACCCAAACCAGTTAGAATCTAGTCAGTTTTGAAGGGAGAAAGGACAAACTGAACAATACTGAATTTAATTTAATGACTGTTCCAAGATTCAATGAGGACAGGGCCTTAGTAAGCAGTCTTTAAAAGAAGCAGAAAGAAACTGATGTTCTTACTTTTGTCCAAGCCTTTAGTCCCTTAAATCTCAAAAGTTATTCTCTTTTTTCACACCTCTATCCACTGTCCCAACAACTGTAACATACAAAAATTAGAATAATCTGTGTATAGGAGGAAAACACCTAAAATAGGGTCAAATCTTAAACAGCGATTATCAAGGTCCAGACATGCACCGATGGCTTCTTACAAGCGAAGTCTACACAATAATAATCTACCTGTGCCTAACCCTGACCCCACCTGGCACTTCATCAACATGCAAAACCTTCCTGGGACAGCAGAGAGGTTCACTGAAGGAACCTGGATGGGAGACAAGAGAAAAGCTCTAAGGTGTGTTGCCTAAAGAACGCGTTAGGAACAGCAGCATCGACCTAACCCAAATCAAAACAAGTCGTGGGCACATACATCCCTCAAGAATCATGTCTGTTTGATCTCCGCTTTCTTCCTCTTACCTGAAAACCTAAGGAGGTAGTGCAGGCTTTGGAGAAGGGAAGAGACTCTACATCTGAGGTCTCTGAGACCTGCTACCTTGCGTGACTCCCTGTCCCAGCTCTCACCATTTCCACTACAGTAGCAGGGAAGCCTCACAGAGTTGGAAGTCAAAATACAGGTGGAAGGTGAGAAATCACAGCCAGGAAGAGATCTGACTGTCACCGCCTTCCAAAGAAAGGTTCTCTAAACCAAGAGGATTATTTTGCCCCGCCCACTGTCTTGTCTCTTTTAAGACGAAGTTCTGTAGTCACCACCAGGATGTGCCAAAAGTCAGTTTTCTCCCTAGAAGGAGGGATGGGCCTGGACTGGAACCTGGACCCGAGGCAAGTCCTGCTTCCTGTCCTCGCCTGAAGTCTCCCTTACAGTAGCTCATTTCGACCTAGGCTCTGCTACAGAATCATCATAAAGGCTCAGAGCTACCAACTATGTTAGTTCACATATACATACAAATGTATTTGAAATGGTTGATCACGTGAGCTGTTGTCTTCCTCAGAATTATTTATTTTGGCTTACAGAAAATATAAACAAATATATAATTTATATGTAATAAACCCTATATATAAAGAGTAAATGACTTAGAACTGAAGCAAAAGTTTATAATTTTAAGTAAAGCCTTCAATTTTAAATTGAAAAATAAACAAACAGCTGAATCCAAAGTTAACTTCCAAAGGGAAAGGAAAATGACAATTCTGAGAGCTTCTATCTGAAGGAAACGTCAGCCACAGCCTTTGAATTCTCTAGAAAGAAAAGCATGAGATGCCCCGGTATAAAGCCTTTGACTTCTCTAGAAAGAAAAGCATGAGATGCCCAGGTATAAAGCAAAAGGTCATGACTGCATTCTGTGTCGAACGCCCTGAACCCCGAATATTAAGAATGTACTCCCAGAGGGTACAAGAAGAGCAGGTGGGACGCTGACGGAAAAAGACCGGATAAACGGTAGGTTTAGTAGCTCCGAACACTTACTTCCGTGAGCTGCTCTGTTTTCCGAAGAGGAACCAGAACGAGCGGATGCTCCAGTAAGAATAAGGATAAGGGCAGAGGGCACCAGGTAAATGCAAAGCGGTGGATTCCTCTTTAGTCCAGACCTACAAGATACTAACCTCTTGGAAATCCTAACCGAGCAAACCTACGATTTTACTGGAGGAGGGGCTGAAGGTTGCGGAAATTATAACTGAAACAACATATATAAAAAATGAGACCGGCTTCTGAGGGCAAACCCAAGCTCTTAGGGAAGGGGGCCGGAGTCTGAAAAAATAAGGTTCCGTAGAAAAGCCCGAGAGAGATCCAGGCCCGAGGACTGCGGCGGGGAGCGGAGAAGCGCGGAGCGGGCACCACCCAGCAGCGGGGCAGCGACCACTGTACACGTGTTGGTGCGGAGTACAGGGAACCCCTGGATGAAGGGGCGGAGTAGGTCTGGGCCGAAGGGCGAGACCGGGAGGCAGCTTCCTGCCGGGGCTCGACAGGGACGCGACGGGGAAGTGGGGTCGGCGTGTGCCGGGGGGGGGGGGGGGGGGGGGAGCAGCCGGGGGGCCTGAAGAGAGCAGGCGAAGAAGAGGAGAAGGTCGAGCGCGGGATCACTGGAGGACGGAGCGGAGACACTGGACGGGGCAGGCCGGGGAAAAGTGAGGCGCTCAGAGAGCCCACGGGGGGTTCGGCCCGGGGAGGGGGTGAGAAGGGAGGAGAGCTCCAGCTAAACCTGGCTGAAAGGAAGTAGGAGCATGGTGCAGGGGTGAAGGGACGCTCTCCGAGCGACAGGGTGACGGGGGGGGG